TAAATATATATATAATATACAATTTCTGTTCATACATATACAATAAACATATATACAGTTATGATAACACCAGTTTATATATCTATATAAATATACACATACATGCATATCCATATATACACATACATACACACACATACAGTGGATATAAAAAGTCTACACACGCCTGTTCAAATGCCAGGGTTTTGTGATGTAAAAAAATGACAGCAAGACAAATAATTTCACAACTTTTTCCACCTTTAATGTGACCTATAACCTGTACAATGCAATTGAAAAACAAACTGAAACCTTTAAAGGGGAAAAATATAAAATTAAAAACTTAAAAGAACCTGGATGCATATATATGCACACCCTTAAACTAATACCTTGTTGCAGCACCTTTGGCTTTTATTACAGTCTTTTTGGGCAGGAGCCGGTCAGCGTGGCACATCTTGATGTGGCAATGTTTGCCCACTCTTTTTTGCAAAACCGCTCCAAATCTGACAGATTGTGAGGGCATCTCCTGTGCACAGCCCTCTTCAGATCACCCCACAGATGTTCAATGGGATTCAGGTCTGGACTGTGGCTGGGCCATTCCAAAGCCTCAATCTTATTCCGGTGAAGCCATTCTTTGGTTGATTTAGATGTGTGCTTTGGGTGATTGTCGTGCTGAGAGATGAAGTTCTTCTTCATCTTCAGCTTTCTAACAGAAGGCTGAAGATTTTGTGCCAGCACTGACTGGTATTTGTTACAGATGTATGGTAACGGTTTTGGAATCCCGTCAGTGAGTTTTGTTTTTGACTAATGTCATATCAATGTCACTCACATCAGTAGACTTTTTGTTGTTACATTCCTTGACGATGTCCACCATGTCTTTCTCATCCACTGCTTTGACAAACATCGAGCTGGCATTTCCCTCTGGCAGCCTGTCTGTTTTTTCTCCATTTGTTCCTGGATTCTTGCTGCTAAGTCAGGTCCAACATTTACAATGAAATTATTAAATCAGTTAGCTATGTCCTCCATATTATAATGCTCTTCATCTTTCTCAATGAAATAGCTAGGATAACTTGTTAGTCTTGTGCTATTTCTTATAATACTGTTCAGTATATTCCATATTCCCTTAATATTGTTTTTGTTGTCTTCAAGTATTTTCCTATAAAATTCAATTTTAAAAATAAACAAAACTTTTCCTTATAAGTTAACTTGTTTTCATATTTTTTATATCTATTTTCTGCCTCTTTAGTTCTTTTCTTATGAAATGTCTGTAAAGTGTATTTTTATTTTTGCAGGAGTCCCTTTGTGATCCATGGACAGTTAGTATATTTAAAATGTCTGTTGTATTCTTTGATTGGACAATGTTTATCATACAGTGACCTAAATATTTCCAAGAATATTTCATGTGCACTATCAGTGTCTCTTTCTTGATATGTCACACCCCAGTTCTGTGCCAGTAGGTCATTCTTCAGTGCATTGATGGATTCTTCTGTCCTCATTCGTCTGTATTGTATTTGTTTGGCTTAATATTCCTGAAAATGTTGTCATATACTGTGAAAACTGGCAGGTGATCACTGATATCGTCATTAATAGTCCGCTTACTGTGTTATTGTCAGTGTCATTCGTGAATATGTTATTAGAGTGGCACAAGGGGATGTAATTCTGCTGGGTCTGGTGATTTTTGGAAACAAGCTCAAACGCATTGACAAATTCATCTGTGATTTTATGAATATTAGGATTTAACAGATCAATATTGAAGTCTCCACATATGGATACAGTTTTGTTACCCTTTTTTGAAAACATGCCCTCCTGGTTTGTTAAACAAATGGACAATTAGATTTTATTGGAAAGGTAAAAGTGACGATTGTAATGTTGCATCCCTGGTGTCACGGTGCGAGGTGAACCCAAGCAGAGAGTGCACAGACAGGGCATGGGTTTACAGAGATACACATGAACAGAGAGCCAGGAATAACAGAGGTGGGGGACCAGGGACCAAAATGAACTAAATACTCACTAATGGCTGGGCGGGGGGCGGACAGGCTCCCGGGGACCAGCAGTCCGAGAAGCGCACACCGATGGAGAGGGTGGGCGACGGACGGAGAGCGGCAGTGGCGGTCCAGAGAATGGGCCGGGGGGAGCCGATGCCCTTCAGCTATTTTTTAAATAATACCAGAGGACAGTGCCTAAGCTTCACAGGAAGCAAAAGGCCAGTGCTTTCTCCACGACAGACGAGGGCGCTGTTGTTGTGACAATACCAACTTCTCAGATTCTCCTTCCCAAGTACAGCGTCCACATTCCCAGTCAAAATAGTAGCACCAAGGAAACATCTCTAATGCATAGTGTGCTTGACCCACATGCTTGAGATGTCAGTCATATAGAGTCATATTTCAGACTAGAAATGGACGGCAGCGTGCATGCATTTGTGTGTGTCTGTGTGTTATCGTGTATCACAGAAGCTCTGCCTCAGACTGTCAGAGGTTGTAAAGGTACTGGGTATCAAATGAAACAAGGGCTAATGATTACAGAAAGTACTCAGTGACATGGCAGAAAACATTGCTTTGAATGGTCATGGCACATAATGTCAGGCAAGCAATAAGTTGCAGTTTGTGACTGATTATGTACAGTGCAGAGTTTACAAATGCTGCTAAAACAACACAGCAAGCCATTGTTTTGTAATAATACAGCTCTTAATTACTGCCCCTGATTATTATCTTATATTGTGCAAGATAAAATTAACCTTGTATTTATCATGGAAGCATTATGAACTCCTGGAAAAGAGCATTTTATTGATAAACCAAGCCACTGATTTTCTTCCCAATCCTTGTGAAAGTTGGGCCTCTTTGTTGAAAACCTCTAAAACCAATTTGATTCCTCATAAAAATAAAATCTTCCATGGACAACATTTTGACAGGCACAAATAACAATACAATAAAAGATGGCAAAATTCAGTTTACCTGCTTCAGGTGGTGCTGGCTAACTATTCCACTGTGATGGCTGTGAGACATGGCTGTTGTCAACGGTGCCACCTTCTCCTGTTATCACAAGGCAAAAGGTTTGCTGTGAGAAAAAAGGCTGATTAAGGTTGTTTCATTTCCACTTCTTACAGAAGGCTTTCATCAAGCCAAGATCATTCACCGCATGTGTCCCAAGCACCTTTTAATTATATTGTATTTTACCGAAACAACTAGGTGGTCCACATGGATAAACCGCATGGAACCAACTGAGCTCCCTAAAGGTTAGTTTGGTTATGGTTAAAAACAGTGGTCAGGAAACTACACAGTTAAGTTATGATGAAGTGGGAACTGCTTGGAAGAGATCATGAGTCTGTGGGGTTTCGTTCACTTGGTAACAGATATGACATACTTTCTGCCAACCTCACTGCTTAGTGTTGCACATTTGAGGCAACTATTGTCTATTTGCCAGCAACCACACATCCCATACCTCCTTTGGTCATCCTGTATTGCGATTAAGGAACTGCTGCATGTGGATTTAATTGTAGTGCAACCCCCACTATGTTACGAAGTGTTTGTGATCTCACAGACATGTTTGTGTGACCTATTCAGGGGCATCATGAAAGCAGAGCCCCGCTGGACTCAAATCGGTGTTATTTGTGCAATAACTGGAGGCAACGATGGGAGCGTCCAGGCTGAATTTGTTTTGACCTTGCTCTATATAAACAAAATGAGATATAACCACCATTTACTGGCCTGAAACATCTCTCTTCCGTGACATGAGCACTGAATGTCTGGCAAAATAATCATAGCCTTGTTTAACAGACAGACTTCCTTCTCAACTGAAGGCTATTTCCATTATAATTTTCAAATCATTATATTAAGCCTCTAGTCTACCTCTTTTCCCAGAGTGGTACTGAACAGACATCCAAACTGCAGATTATATAGATTCTGGATTTACAGCAAAAATTCCCCCTGCATAGAAAACATGGGAGAAGTGTTGTCAATACAACAAATGTATCCTGTTGCTTCCATCGAAACATGACCTGTTCTTTTCTTAAGGGAACAGACGAGCAGGACCAGATGTTAGAGCTGACTTTGAAAGTGTGCAAACTCATTAAAGACTTTTATGGCTGAACTTGGAATAAACGTGTGAGAATGTAAAGCTTTATGTGCTACCTGTGAAAGAGACATCAAAGAGTGCTGCAGCTGCTAATGACAGGCCAGCGCATGTCTGAGATCCACAATTAGCCGATACACCTAATTATTTAAAAAAAAAAAAAAAAGATACACCGAAGGCACAGCATACAGCAACGAATGCATGTAAAGGTCATGATCATTAGGTGTCTCTGCATTTGACATTTGTAATAAAGGATGTTTTTTTTTGTTCCTACTGGTGAGGCACTGGAAAAGTTTCATGTGGTACTGCACTGAGTGAAAAGAGGAGCACCCCTAAACATAATCCCCACCCCCCTGTCCAAACCCACTCCTACCTCCAGAAGTCACCACCTATCCATCTCAGTGCAGTGTCATTTCACAGAGTGTCAACCCACCTCTGGAATTTCAGAGAGGAAGAAGGGGAAGCAAATTATGGGACACAGAGAGTAGCTGCAGCATTGAAAAAGAGTGTGAGAGAGTTGTTGTTTTTTTTCTTTCCCCCCCCCCCTGGAGGAGACTTTGACTTCTTTGTGTTCTGGAAATACATGAAATCTGGGGTACCTTGTGTGAAGGCTCAACAGAGACTTGTTCCTGTCTAAGCAACTTAATGAGCCTAAGCCCCTAGGAGGAACTCAGAGCAACCAAAGTCAGCCCCGTGGGAAACAAAGCACAACGGCTGCTCGCAGTGACAGACATGCAGCCCTTTACTTTGGTCGGCGGGCTTTTTCTCCTGCTCCACATCTCCTCTGGCAGCGCAGAAACCCATAGGTAAGTCAAACAGATCAACACACTGTGGGTGATGGTGAATTGTTTGTTTCTAATCCTGAAACCTGCAGCAGGTGTAAATTTTACTAGGAAGTTTACTCAGTTCAAAAAGTCAAAAAGAAGTTCAAGTGTGATATTAGAGAAATGTCTATGTAGTACAGAGCTACTATCACATTGCAGTGAGTCTGAATGCCAATAATAAACCAAAAATGCTACCTTTAGGATTGAGTAGTGTACAATTTAGCCCCCTTCCTGTGGCCAAAAAAAGGAAATTACAAACACTGTAACTGCACCTTCCTCCACATATTATTATTTCAACTAGTGTTTAAGGGGTAACATGAACCCCTCTATTTTGTACTGAATTATGTGCTTTAAATCTTTACAGGGAAAACTGTTGTTTCGATGGCATGTACACACAGCTGCCCCCCGCTAACAGAGCAGTGTGACAGCTAAAAGTGGCACGGCAACTGTTAATAACTGAAGAGCACCTGTCACACTTAGGAGCCCCTCTCTTGTGGGCTATTCTGGTTGATTTCTATCAAGTCTCAGATTCCTCCAGTCCCACTGGTGCCAGGGCTGCTTTTAGGATGCAAACACTGTTGACACTTAAACATCTGGGATATAACAGTTTGGCTTTGAGCTTTTAAGGCGGAATAGTGATGCTAAAACCTACAGTTAGGCTCGGATGTGAGATTCTTGCATCCGTGGATTTCCTTACGTCAATGGCAAATGGCAAGTACTAATTTAATTTACAGGTTAAAAATATGCACATGCAATGTAATCTATATGGACTGTAGGTTATTTTCAATGCAATGCTGACTTGTTAACCACAACTCAGAATAACTTTACAGTAAATTCTCATCTGCCTCCAGAAACAAAATCAAAGTGGAGGTAAATGGGGAGGAAATAGGGTTTCGCATGAGGTATCACATGTGTGACCCGGGAAGTGTCTGATTAGTGTGTTTTTCTCCATCTGTAGCCGACATCCTGTCAGCTGGCTGTTGCTCCACAGGGAGCCTCACTTCTATCACTGAACAAGCTTGTAGGGGAGACACTTTATTTAGGTTGTTTAGGCCATAATTAAAAATGGGTGTCTGAAAGCCTGTATTTAAGAGAGCTTTGTAAGTTTGTGAATGTGTGGACCTAAATAATCATACTTTTAACAAACAAAATCTGTTAGTGTTTGGCGTTGTTGCCACTGAGATAAGGTTTTATTTAAAGGGATACATTTCTATTTTATGTTCAGTGCACTACCCATGGTGGGTTATAAATTATCAAGACAGAAAAATTACACATCTTACCTTGCACTCTGCTCTTCCTCCACAAAGGCACTACCGACAAGTCCTTACTGGAAACCAACCAGGTGTGTGTCGCTATGGCAGGAGACTGGAGTGTTGCTATGGCTGGAAGAAAAACAGTAAAGGGCAGTGTGAGGGTAAGGACAGTCCTGATTCTCACTGTAATTTTGATAAAAACATACAATTCCTGTAAAATCAACCACTATGTTAACGTGCGTGAAATGCCATTTGAAGGGAAAAAGACATATTAAGAGAGAAGGATTTACATTCCCACCACAATGTCCTGACTATTGTTATTCTTTTCATGAAAGATATTTTCCTAACCCATAAAATATGGAGGAAACGACAGTCTAAATTAAAAAACCTTGCCTGCGTAATAGAAGTGTGTGGTTTGACTGCAATCCATCATTCTTCACCGCTGATATTTCTGGTGGTATTTTCTTCATGCTAAATGTTTTACCAGCTCAGTGTGAGCACGGATGCAAGCATGGAGAGTGCGTCGGGCCCAACAAATGCAAGTGTTTCCCAGGATACACCGGAAAGACATGTAATCAAGGTGGGTATTTGAGGTCAGTACAGAGGGTCTGGAAAACATGAGTCCAACTGGGTACAGGATAATCTTTTTTTTTTTTTTTCAGCTGAAGAATTCACTCTGTAAGAAGTTGTGACATTAAACATTTGAATTTCAGAAAACAGGGTGTTGCAGATGAACAAAACGTATATCATTCTTATTTCTAGATCTGAATGAGTGTGGCCTGAAGCCTCGTCCCTGTGAGCATCGCTGCATGAACACCTACGGAAGTTACAAGTGCTACTGTCTCAATGGATACACCGTAATGCACGATGGATCCTGTGCCAGTGAGTCTCACCACACACTTATCCGTATTGGGAATAATAACAAAGAGGCCAGCTTGCATATCTGACAATGTGTGTTGTCTGTGTGTGTGTGTGCATGTAGATTCCAGGACATGCTCTCTCGCTCACTGTCAGTATGGTTGCGAGGAAGTACAGGGGGAGATCCGCTGCCTCTGCCCATCTGCAGGCCTGCAACTGGGGCAAGATGAGAGAACTTGTGTAGGTGAGCAGCCACACTCACACAACAGCAGAGTGTAACCACAGGAAATCCATGTTTTTAGGCTTTCAGTGCCGTGCAAGGGATGTCAAATACAACACACCATCAGAGATAGAACTGAGAATTATGATAGCTGGAGCAACAGCCTTCAACTTAATGAGAAACACAGAGCGAAAAGAGATTGACTTTGGCTTTTTATGTCACATAGATTGGCAGTATTTGCATACTGGGAAAAATTCTGTGAGGATTCTATTACGTGGTTGCTGCACGCTTGGCTTCAAAATCAGATGGATACAATTAAGTTATATTTCTTCCCTCAAAACGGCCTGAGCTGTGGCTGAACCAGTCCGACATGATCGCACAGGGGAAGTAATATACTTGTTCTACAGCATTAAATTTCAGGACTGCAATGGATCCAACACACTCAACAAAAGTATCATGTTTCCCAAGTGAAATTGTACTTGTGTGTACTGTACAAAAGATGAACCCTGATGACACAGACACTTATCTACCATATTCACAGTAAATTTTAACCACATATGACAAACTCCGAACTGGCTGCAGGCCTAGACTTTCAGTCACTAACTATAAATAGAACATTTAGAGGTATAAATAACAGGATTTACATAATCAAATGCGCAAAAAAGAAAAATGGAAAGTGCATTTATTAACCAAATTATCGTCTCTACAGCAGCAGATTGACTACTCAGACTGTTTGGCACTGTTAAATAGCTTTAGTGACACTGATATTACAATTAGCTTAAAAACCTTCTTGTACACACATCCTCCTGTATTAAGTAGTCCATTGTGATCACATTAATATCCATAGCTCATTTACCCCACACCTCTCTATTCCACCTGGCTGGATACCACATCAAGAACAATTTAGCAATGTTGGGTAGCAGAAAATCAGTGAGGCATCGTGTTAATGACAATCAGGATGTCGAAGCTCCCTGCTGGCAAATGAAAAAGAGCAGCTAATGACTCAATGGGAATCTCTGGAAGCAGTTTGCCCAGACAATAGTGATGAAGTGTCGGAGACTGCAGGGGAAGGGAAATTAGCAATTTCAGAAAAATTATGCATCAAAAAATATTTTCATTATTGAAAGTGAAAGCATGTTTCTGAAGGGTTACACTTCAAAACAAGCAAAAATGGGCAACTGGAAGGATTACAAAACTGGTAGTTCAGAGTAATATAATGTACTTTTATAGCCTAGAGCGCCAGATTATTTTTTTATCGGATTTATTAATTTAAACTTGATAAACATAAAATGATAGGCTTTTTAATTTCCCCCATTTTGTTTCCTTTCAGATATTGACGAATGTGTAACTGGAAAGAGCCTCTGTCCCTACAACAGGCAATGTGTGAACACCTTTGGCAGCTATTACTGCAAGTGCCAGGACGGCTACGACCTGAAATATGTCGACGGCAAATATGACTGTGTAGGTAAGGTATACAGTTTTATTAAGGCAAAACATTGTTGATTATTTCAACTTCTAAAGGTACAAATAGGCTTCTTCCAATTCCAGACCTTGATGAGTGTGCAGCCGGCACCCACAAGTGCAGCCACCACGCTGTCTGTCTGAACACTCAAGGATCCTACAAGTGCAGGTGCAAGTCTGGCTTCAGAGGCAATGGCTTTGAATGCTCTGGTGAGATCTAAGATCTGCTACACAGAATTATGATTCAATTAATATTAAGAGTGCCTTTTAATTTCAGTCAAACAAAGCCACTCACATTAGATACTAAAAACACATGTCTCAAGGATTTTCCAGGTGAGAGTATTAAGTCAGATCGGCCAGGAACAGTTTTACAACCACATATTTCATGTGGAATCTTTGAACATTAGTGAACAGCAGTCTTGCCAAGGCTAGTTTCCTGCTCTAAAAGGCCGCTCCTCTTCACAGATGTTAGAATGAGAGAGGCAGAAATTGAAAACACACCTGTGTCAATATGACACTGCTCTGTAGCCAGCCATCTGAAGAGGCAGGGCAAGGAAAGGTAGTGATGTACTCTTTGAACCAGGCCCAAATAATAACAGGTGAAGTCTTGTGTAGCCAAATGACATAAAAAGTGTAGGTCAGGGGAGTTCAGCATGAATGAAGATGCCTTTATTTTTTGTAGTCAAGCCATTTTATCAGAAGTCGTGGGATGGAGACAAAGGCAGTGCAGACGATTCCCTCAATGGTGAGATTGTGCGGAATCGAGCTTCCGCTGTTCACTTCCTGTCCTGCAACCCAAAACATTTATCCTTTCCTCTTGTCTACCTCTAAGAGCATCTTCCACAGCTGTTTCCCCTGCTCATGGCTGGAAATGTTGTATGGCCACAGCACCCACAGCTTGATAGAAGACCTGGAGCCCGCAGCATGACCTTTCACATACAGAGTTTGTGTTAAAAAAAAATGCTTGTAGATTTAAGACACTAATTTAAGCTATATGGAATGACTGTCGCTGTCATGCTTCACCTGCATGATTTAGGATAATCCTTCCTGTCGTAGCATGTTCATTTTATGTAGTTTTTCTCTTGAGGAAAATAAAGCATTTTATCCATGAAATGGTAAGTAACTGCAAGGAAGTGTTTAATCAGAGCTGCAGCTGCGAAATACATAACAACAAACAACAAGCAGATCTGCACCCTGGTAAAAACATTATGCTTCCGACTCTTGATAGCATATCCATATGTGTAACCTGAATCCTCTTCCTGCCCGCAGCCATCCCAGACTCCCAAGTGAAGCCCGAGATTCTGGGAGGTAAGCTGAGCAATGAGGACATCAAAAATGTAATCCCTGAACCAGTCGCAACACCGCCTCCCAAGGTCCGCCAGCAGCCTTTTGACTATGAAGGAGAGGTCTATGTTGGCACCCAGAACGAGGCAGGACCGGAGGAGGAATTTCCAGAGGAAGACGAGGAGGAAGAGGAAGACAATCAGCTCAATCCAAGAGGAGATGTTTTCAGTAAGTGTGTTTTTTTTGCTGTTCTGGTGCCTTATAGTAAATCCGTTCTACTATTCTGGGTGGCCCACAGTAAGTAGTAACCATAAACAGACTAAACAAACTCAGTAATCTACAGAGATTTTGCCCTCATGTCTGCACAGCAACTGAACATAATTATACATTTTTCAGTTGGCAGGTAAAATAAGTGTAATATAGCAGCTCAGAATTAAGCCCTTGACCACAGAAGAAAGGGGCTTGTTGCTTCAGGTCCCCTGTTAACCTTCAGACCTGTGTGACTCCACTCCAGGTTTGCTTTTGGGTTTTTCATCCAGCGCACGTTAACATTAAATCTGTTTAGACATCTCAGTCTTGCTGACTGTCTCTGTAAAGAAATGCAAGAATTGTGATTGTCATGCTGGCATGTCCTTCAGTATTTAAAAACAAATTGAAAATATCCCTAACCTCTCAATTCTAGCTTGACATTTTTCAAAAGTCCTTGATTTGCTAAAACAAATTTTAAAAATCTCAATAGGAACTCAGCAAAGCACAGGAAAGATTTATCTGATTCAATCTCTGATTACAACATATAATGGACTTGGCTCATTTACTGGCATCCATCTCACTGAAAAAAAAACCCCATAAATGAGGTCACCTTTCACCACTAATCTAGATCTTTATGGAAACATTATAGTCTCTGTAAGAACTCACATAGCAAGAGGAGACAGGCCCCAAGACATCCATCACCTCCAGGGAGGAATTTTACCCTGTTGGCATGTGAGAGCCCAAGGATACAACTCATCCTGGGCCTGCTTCCCATCTCCTGGGAGGAGGGTGAGGAAGGGAGGGAGGTTACAAAGCCTCAAAGCCTTTTATTATGTTTTCCCCAAAACAGCTGTTGTGCAAACAGACTTGACTCCTTGTAGGAAAGTCTGTCATCAACACTCCAGACCTCTCTAACACTAGCCCACTTTGGCTGAGCAGGTTCAATAACCCCAGCTGTCACTCGTCTGAGTGTCTATGGCTGCTTTTCATGGGGGTGATTTGCTGCGAGAGCTTTAAAATGCTCGGAGGGGGGAAGGTTGGGGTTATATCCTAAAGTTGTAGCTCCATTTCAAAGCATGAGTGACAGCAGGGCAGGTCTACACCTGTTGGCTGAAAATCCCTTTCTAGCTTTTGTTTCATCAAGGAAAATCTCTGAGCTGCATTATTTGTAAAGTTTTCAAGATCACATATTTTCAGAGGGTATTTTGTAAGAGTATGCTGATGATGCAGGTGTGTCTGATTATAACTCAAATGTTTGGTTGGTACAACTTGCTAACACTAATGTGGTCTACAACGACAGTTCGGAATGAAATCCTACCTTTACTTTTCGTTGGAATTGAACACGATAAGACTGGATTTATGGCAGGTCTGTTGTATTAGACTGCAGTAGCCATACTTAGCATCCTTGCAACAGAGTATATTTACCTAAAAATCCACCTATTTACACAGATTTTTTCCCTTTAATTTCTAAACACAGTATCAGAAGAGTTTGAGTCGGTGTTCGGCCCAACCACAGAAGTCAAAGAAATCCAAATAACACCGGTTCAGGAAGGTAATCAAGTATGTGTTTATGTATCGTTGTTGCATAATGACTGTTTATGTGGCTAATCTGGAAATGTGCTCCTGTCATTTACTGTCTAGAGTATATCATGGATTGCAACTTTGATCAGGGAGCCTGTGAATGGGTCCAAGACAAGGCTGATGACATTGACTGGAGCGTAGCATACCATGATATTGGTAACAAAACAACATTTTTTTCCACATAAGACGCATTAGGTTTTGTACATTCAAATGCAGTCACTTATATGAGCTTTAAAACTTACTCAGGTGCCGAGTACTACATGGCCTTGAGTGGGCTCCTGGGGGACCAAGAGGACGTGGCCAAGCTGAAGTTGCTTCTCAGCGATCGGGCTCAGCAGGGCAGCTTCTGCCTCACTTTTGATTACCGAGTGGTGGGCCACAATGTGGGAACACTCAGGGTGCTGCTGGACAACAATGTTTATCCAGTGTGGGAGCAGAGCCAGAGCAGAGACCAGGGATGGCAGACAGAGCTCCTCACCGTGGCCTGGAGAGAGAAGGCCCCAGAGTCTGTGAGTTGTCCAGTCAATTACATAAGACATGTTATTGACAGGTGATTATCAATGCAATGGATTAAAGGCTAGTAACAAGAATACCTGTAACAGCAAATGTAGCGGCCAGAGTGAGCATGAATGTTGCATCAAAAGTCTACGAAGTACTCGTGACTAGCTATGATGGATGTTGCTCTAAATTTGGTTCAAGTATGTTTGAAAATGTTATTCACCCACAACTGGATTCTTCAACCTAAACATGCGATGTTACCACTGAATGTCTTTCAGATTATCTTTGAAGCACAGCGTGGGAAAGGCCTTGGAGGCGAGATAGGGCTGGACAATGTCGTGCTGACCTCAGGGCCCTGTCAAGAGGACGACACTCCAGTTTTTTAAGAATCTCCATCTCAGATTACCAATTCTGCCCTAAATGACAACATGTCAAGGATTCCTGCCCGTATCGTGGAGTTTCTCAGTGTTCTCTCATCGCACAGATACACTTTTTAAAGGGAAGAATATGAACAATCAGTGCATGCAAGTTTACTTACTCACAATGCTGCTACATCAAGACATCCAGCTACATTCTTTATTGTGATTTTCAAAATAGTAGCTAATGGTACAGATAACTCCGAACTCAGGAATAGGTGGAACTTTGTTAGTTTGGTTTAACAGTTTGTGCTTAGTCCTTTGTTGTGTATGTGACAGTGCATTGCTGAAGTGAACTAAAAATAATCTGACATGTAATGTGAAATCTTAGGTGAATTATATCTGAAATCCTTGATAAATAACTTTTTTTTTTGAAGGCTGTTTAGTTTGAATGATAAAAAAAACAGTATCCATGCATAAAAGCTGTAATATTTGCTTTCAAATCATACTGTATTCTTACATTAAATGTTTTTTTTTCTAGCTCTGCCTTACATTCCTTTTTATCCATGCATGCTGTAAGTCTGGATAGATGGCTAATCCTGATCATGTTACTTATTGTAGGTTACTGCAAGCTGGGCAGAAAGTATGGGGGTAATTTAAGAATATGTCTGCAGACCATGCAAATGCCACCACAAAGGAAATTTTATGCATGCCAGAGCTGATGTTTTATCACAGAAAACGGATGTGTGGGTGTCAATTTACATCCAACCTGAGTGAGAAAAGTATGCCGTAATGATCATGTAGATATTTATATCAAAAAAAGTACAAAGAGTGTTGTTTTCTTTGACAACCTCATGGACAGAAAGTATGTGTGTAGGTTTACTCAAGCACAATTAGAGCGTCATTTTATTTTACATTTACTACATTTCGGAAAATAAAATTGTACTTTTACTTTCCAACTCACAACATCTGCACTATTATAATACATAAGACTTATTAGTGTGTCAAAAAAAAAGAACACATCCCTACAGGGACTGCAACAGTTTTACTTGAGATGGTTATTTTTTAACTAGATTCAAAAAGGACTACGTGACTATTTTGACACTGTAGTACTGTTATGTGGGGTAATTCCTTTAGTAGTTTTCATACCTTAGGTAGAAACCTGGTTACAGTGCAAGAAGAATGGATTTTGACAGCTGGGATGGTGGCTGATAACAGCTAAATGTCGCCATCTTGTGGTGTTACTTGAATATTACAAAGATGTAGCCGGTAACTAGCCGATGTGCTACCAGTGGAGAGATGCTAAAGCTAGCTTAAAACTAAAAGGTTAGCAAAGTGTCGCTTGGTTTAAACACGTATGCTAAATTTTAATAAGTGCATAAAAAAGTGCAGTGCAGGAATATATATATATATGTTACGTTTTCTGTAGAAATGTAATGGCCTGAGGTATCTCGGCGCTCGTTGGTTGTTTCTGTCAGACCAGATCACATGATCCGAGGCTAGTTAGCAGCTAGCTGCGTTCTCATCGAGCCTTTGGAGTTGACCAGGAAACTGTGCGACCTGACGTTATCCAGAGCCACACCAAAGCGAGGAGCTGTCAAACAAATGAATTAATGTTATTTTAGTTATTTCGTAGAATATTTATCGGTAAACCAGAAGCTGCCTGTCCCAGACTGCAAGGTACGTTACTTACACTCTTGCCTGTATGCAAACCTGAGCTAGCTAATTTAGTGCACTGCATCAACCCAACTCCAGCTGTGTTGTCTTGTTTTCCTTTTTCATGTTAGCCTAGCGTAGCTAGCAACTAGCTAGCTGACAGATTCAGGATCTTTCCACGAACGTGCTACTATGTTACAGCTGTTTGTTGTTTAACATCCCACACGTTATAGCCACAAGTTAAACACGTATACCTTGTTCATAGTGTTCATAATCAGTGTAACGTTTTTGTACGTATGGTAGCAGATCATGCTTTATTGCACTGGGGCTTCCCAGCTGTAACTTCTGTCCTGGGCCATCTGTGCAGCAGGAAACTTATTGCTTGTCACTGTTTTACAGCTGGTTGAACGTTACCTGCGTGGCTGCTCACATCAACATAAAACAAATGAGCATGTGACCAAGGACTGGGGTTTAAAGCACATGATCTGGACAAGTGGAGGAGGTTAAAATCAATCAGGGGTGAGGCACAAAACATACACTATGATTTTTGTACCTGCACTTCAGTGTAATGTACTTGGTTTGTTTTTCTTTTCAAAGTGTTATTGTATTAGTTTGCAGATAACAAAATACACTTCAAATGTGGCATCTTTCCATTAGGTCGATTATTTCAAAGTGGTAGATCGGGAGTGAATAGCCATGACAACATCCTTGCTGAAAGTGATTCTGCTGGGCGATGGTGGTGTAGGAAAGAGCTCCATTATGAATCGCTATGTCACCAACAAGTTTGACGCACACCTCTTCCACACCATCGGCGTCGAATTCCTCAACAAGGACCTGGAGGTAGACGGCCACCAGGTTACCCTACAGATCTGGGACACTGCTGGCCAGGAGCGTTTCCGCAGCCTGAGGACTCCTTTCTATCGTGGCTCCGATTGCTGCCTGCTCACTTTTAGCGTAGACGACAGCCAAAGTTTTCTCAACTTAGGAAACTGGAAGAAGGAGTTCATCTACTACGCCGACGTCAAGGAACCGGAGAAGTTCCCGTTTGTGGTCTTGGGCAACAAAGTAGATGTAACGGAGAGGCAGGTGTCTTCTGAGGAGGCTCAACAGTGGTGCCAGGAGAACGGTGACTACCCCTATTATGAGACCAGTGCCAAGGATGCCACCAATGTGGCGGTGGCCTTTGAGGAGGCTGTGCGTAGAGTGTTGGCTATGGATGAAAGAACGGACCACCTCATCCCCACGGACACAGTAAAGCTCCACAGAAAGCCTCGCTCTGCTGCCACTTGCTGTTCATAACGTCCAGGAGTTATCACTAACATTAATTCACTGTTATGCCTGTTATGTGATGAGGCTGTAGGTGTGCAATGCTGTAGTAACATCTTATTTAAACAAATTATGCTACTGGCTTTGTGATTCATCATACTCTTTAAAGGTTTGATAATGCAAATAGTTACACTTGTGTTTGAAAAGACAGAAGAACACTAAATTCATCCTAGCCTGATTACAAATAAACCGCCAAGCACTAAATCATTGACTCATCTCTGCCACAGTTCAAAAGTCAAGACTTTAATAAGGTAGCAGAAATGTTGGCCGAAGACTATTTGTTGTCCTTGAAAGGTTTCTTGTTCTTCTAAAAATGGTTAAATGTTCCATTCTGTCATAATGGAAACGTATGTGACTCTTAAAATCAGTGTGTAGATGTGTGCTACTTGGGGAGTGCAATTATCAGAAGGTATTTCAACTTCACTCCCAAATGTGACAGTGCAGAGTGACGATGGAAATATTTCTAATTAGAAAACGACTGCATAAATAAAATAATTTATTCCCCCCCGATAATCGTATTTCAGAAAATGATGAAGTAGCGAAGGTACTACTTTGTATAACTAACAAATTGAGGCTTGATTGTTGCACCTTTTAGGTTTCGTTTGTGCACATTTTGCATTGTGAATACATTACGGCTATGTGCTGGAAGCACTGAGGGAGAAATTCCCTTCCAGAAAATAAACATTAAAGCAAACTTAACATGCATGGCATATGGTATATTGATGTTTCTGGAAATTTTTTGTATTTTGTAACCTTTTTTTACCTCAAGAATCACTGAATCAAATAAGGAGTGTTTCCTTAATGAAGTATAATGAAGTAGTGGTCATTATTGAGTAATCCTTTTCCCTCATTGATGGATTTGTTTTCAATACTGATTTTGTTCTTTAAAGCATTCTATTAACATTTTTTTTAATACTTACAGCTAAGCATCTTTCCCCACAGCTTAATATTTAAAATAGTGAGCCATTTCTTTAGGTCAACTGTTTCTCATTCAGATTTCATTTATATTCAAAGTTGTACTACTGGTATGCCAAATGATAAATAAAGCCCCTGAGAATTGTCCGTTAAGCATGTTTTATGTCCTGATAACGGTCTGTCACTTTATTATTCTAGGCTTTGAACTGAATGACTCCTCATGTCAGACTTACTAGATAACAAATGACCTGTGTCCAGTCACAAGGCTGTTAATCAAAATGTTTTATTCATTATTGAATTCTGGGATAAACTGAAGTTTTGAAGCTTATTGTTAATAATCAACACAAAGTAGCCATAACGTGGCCGAGTCCATTCATTTACAAAAAACAAATCAACAAACATTATCTTACAAGCTACAGTTAGACAATAGAAATCTGCATGTGTGTAGAATACATCTTATGTTGTGTAAAACAGGAAAAGATAGACGTCAAACAAGTGCAAGTATAAACAGCAAATAGACAAGATATTTTCAGATCCTTGTGCGAACTGATTAACTCATGAGATGTTTCTTTCCAAGAAACTGGACTTTCCTCTCAAAAGCTGTTGAGCGGATTGGTGCATTGATTTCATAGAATGGATTCATAGCAAACTGGAAGACAAAACAGATTATTAAATTAAAAAGCTGAAGGCAAATTAAATGCAACATGCTAAGTTCTTCTAATTATATGAAAGGCTACTTACCTTAATGTATAGATCGTATACATCATTAAAAAAGTTTTTGATTCCGTCTTCTTGTCTCACATCATGCAACATGATGAATCTTATATGTACGGCAGTAAATTAAAGAAAATAGAGCCATGCCAATGAGTTGATTATCATGTTGTATGGTCATATTCAGCTTCAAAAACTCCATCCATTATCTATACACTGCTTAATCCTCACTAGGGTCCCAGGGGGCTGGAGGCTATCTCAGCTGACTCAGGGTGAAGGCTGGGGACACCCAACATCCACGCAGAAAGATCCCAGGTGTCCTCACCGGGACGCGAACTGGCGACCTTCTAGCTGCGAGGCAACGATGCTAACCATCGCGTCACCTTTCAGCCCAGCTTCAAAAGCTCCTAAAATTAAATGACATTATACTGCAAACTAACATGCTAAATCATGTAAGCAGGTCTACAACTATTACTTATGTGTGATTGCTTTTTTAAAACTCTGTCATCTCTAAAATGACGGAGTGTAGACTTCAAACAGTGCAAGATGACATTTTCAAAGTGCTTATTTTGTTCAACCAACAGTCCAAAAATGAATTTACAATGATATTGAAGCAACAAATCTTTATGTTGACGAAGAATGGGAGAATATTTAATCAACTAACTGTTACCTTCCATTATTACACAGATGTGCACCTCTATAATTAGTTCATGAACAAGATTACATGAGCTTTGTATACTTCTCTGTTTCTTCAGTCAGTAAACTATGGTATGGAATTATTTTATCAGTTTTGGGACTCCAGTAACCACATGTAACACAGAATCGTGTATACTCTGCAGCACTATACACAGATATTTTGTGAGCGAATAACACAGTAAATAGGAAAAGTATGGAACAGATAAAAAAGGATATGTCCTGCAGTGACGAATGCAGAAACAAACCACTCGTTGAACTTGTCCACGGTTTTCAAGTACATACTATTGGACAGCCACATGTTTTCATCCACCAAATCCAGGGCTGCGTGTGCAATGAATTGGTTCAGGTGACGGTGGTCATCCTGTGGTCAATGAAACAAATATTTTCAAACAAGATAATTTAACAGAGATAGTGATTTCCCATAAAACAAGTGTAAAGGTCGTGTACTGAAGACAGTGTGGTAGATTGTCTCGACAGTTATGCTGTAGTGATGAGTAGTAACACAGATTATGATCAATTGACCACCGTTTGGATCAGGTACAAGTGACATCTGTCTCCAAAGAGTTGGACGAGCATAGTTAATTAAGCCACGTTACCTTAGATTCAGGCTTCCCACTTGGTAAGAACTCCATCTCAAACACAGGATTGTCATGATGACCAACCATGACAAAGTAGAAGCTTCCAGACATCGTTTTCCCTTCTTCTTGGCAAAGCTAAACTTCCCTAATATCAAATCAAAGCAAACAATAAAGGTGAAACAACTACAGTTTTGCCATTATTAGCGTCAGTATCATCCAATTGCTTGTGGCTAGCAGGCTAACGTTAACCGCCGAGTTCCACGGACAGATTAAGTGAGTAAGATTCTAAGTAATTATTGTGAGACTAAAGTAAACATGACACGAACAGGAAAACTCAAGGAACACGATGTATAAACAACAGGGACATTTTTAAATGGACAAAACCCACTTTTGTTTACCTGTTAATTTAGCTTCCTGAAGAGGAAGAAGAGCCGTCGCAGAAAGATGACGACATCGTCAAGAACCTAAAATATATTTTTCATAATTTGTAGTAAGACAATTTTACAACAGTTGTTTTTTAAACTTCCTCATAGAAGTTAGTGTTGTTTAAAACATAAAATATTGTTGAATTATCGTAAATAATTTGCTGCTTTATTGTGTGTACGTCATAACTATGAGCCTGCCCGGAACCGAAATATCCGTTGACGGATTTAAATGTTTGAGGCACACCTCCTTGAAAGAGACGCCAAGTGGTCGTCAGGTTGGTAACTGGCGAAATTATCGACTTTTTTGAGATGCCAGTCGCTTCAGGTGTTCAGAGGATGGGGTGATAAAAGTCTAAAACCAGTAAATACATTTAAAATAATAGCGAAGCGTTTTGTTGTCGAGCTCGCCGTCTGCTTCTTGTTTGTCTGCTGTCAGGACTCCCAATTACTCAGTTATGTCTTCATCAAAAGAAGATGCGTTGTCCCCGGACGAGCTGAAGAAAAGGCTCTATCAAACTTTCAAAAACAAAGGAGTACTCGATACACTCAAAGTAAGTAAGCTGTAGTCAATTGTTATCACTCACAAGAAGTTAAGAGGTCATGAAAGTACGAACATTTGATTAATTCAGCTTTCTGCACCTCCAAAACTGATCATTCAAGTTGCAGTATGTATATTTTTGACCCAGCAGATTTGTCATTATTCCAGAGAACTTATAATAAATCTATGAGAGCACCAAAGTTTATTGTTGTTTTTAGTGAGAAAACAAAAACATGTTTCAATCATTGCATCATAGAAAATTAACACTTATAGGAATCATTGGAGACTCAATACTGCCTGATATAGATATTGAGATTGCTCTTATTTTTGTTGTTCTAGTTTATTTCTTTTAATGTTTTCCTTATTTTTTTGGTTTGTTTTGGTTTTCTGATTACTACACAGAGAGCTAAGATTCACCGGAGTCAAATTTCTTGCTTTCGTGTACAGGCTTGGCCAATAAAGTTGATTCTGATATAACTGTAACATAACTGTATAGCCCAAGTCAATTCTACTTATATTACAAAGAGTCTGGTCTTCAGCCTTCTCATTTTTTTCCCACTCTCATCTGATTCAGGCGCAACTGCGAAATCAACTCATCCAGGAGTTAAAGTACCCACCTTTGACCGGACAAGAACCAGTTCCCAGGCCGGTACCTGTAAAATCTGAGCCCCTTTTAGTTTCAGCCTGTAACAGCATCGTTGCAGACCATCTTCACAGCTCAGGATATGAGTACACACTGTCTGTATTCTACCCTGAAAGTGGCCTATCTAAAGACAAGGTAAGTCAGGCTGTTTTTGTTTCATTTAACTGGAGCTTGAAGTGTAAGGAACATAAGTGTAGTTGAAGTTGTTGTTCTCTGTTTTGTTTTGGCAGGTTTTCAAGACACAAGACCTTCTTCAGCTTCTTAAAATTAGTCCAGAATCAGGCCTTTACTCGTCCTTGGTAATAATAATATGATTTAAAATGTTCAATGTTGTCTTTGAAATGAGAGTTAGTAAGAGCTAAATCACAATAATAATAATATCTTCTTTTTTTTTCTTTACAGGCTTCAAATAAAGAAAACAAGGATAAAGGTATGTGCAGCGCTCTGTTCCTTCTAATAAAACTGCTTCTACTCGCAAGTTCTGCCCTGATACACTTTGTCTTTGTGTAGCAGGGTTGCTGATCAACCTTCTAACTCATCTAGGACACCACGATGCTCACAGTCGGTGCCATGACGCTGACACTCAGACAGCCACTTTATCAAGTTATGGAGAGTCTCTTGGTATGATGAACTGATGTCTAAAACTCACCATTTATTTTTCGAACACATGCCCTTGAACATGTTTATTTTAAGGTTTTCTTGCTCTCTTTCTGTTCACAGTAGAGAAGATGAAACTGATTGATAGGGAATATGAGAGCTTCACTTACAGTGAGGACAAAATGTTTTCATTCCAATCAAAACTGGATGCATATAGAAGAGAAACTGAAGCACAGATGAAAGCAGAAATGAACACAGAGGTATATGCGCGCACAAACACACACACATAGAAAATGAAACAAAAAAGGTTTTGTCATGTGGTTTTTATTTCAGTTATGGGGCCTCAATACTGTGTTTTTTGTTTTCACAGCTGCAACATTTCAAAGATGTTGAAATCGCTAAGGTGAGGATGGAAGAAAAATCTAAATTTCATAAAGAGTTTGGTAAGCTGAAGCAAGAACTGGAGAGGACTTATGAAATGAAGGCAAAGGCACTGATGGATCGAGAGAAAAATGCCATTGACCGGCTACAAAAACAACAAGAGGTAAATTATTGCTAATAATACCTTGTGCTCTGTTTAATTCTCTAGAGGCAAGCCCTCAGCATATCCAGTGGTGTCCAAAAGTCTGAGATTATTGATTGAGATGCTTCTATTTTGCAGTTGTCTTGAATTTAATGCAAAAACTCACATTACCAGTTACAGTGTCAGCTGATGAAACTGAGTGAAAATTGAATCCCAGAAAAATGTATCTGATGTTTGGATTATTTTAGCATTTGTTTGCCCTTATTTTATTGTAATGACAACATGCTGTCACACTGGAATGAACTCCAAAAGTTTGTTCAAACCTGATAATCCAAGTTATCCCAGCATGACCTGACAATGTTCCCCAAAGCTTCCTGTGATGTCAGGGCTGTTTGGCTTTCTCACTCTCAAGTGCCCCCATCAATGTTCACTGAGGTCAGTTAGCTGTGGAGGAAAATCCGCGACAGTCAGCGTTCCATTGTGTTTTGAGTCCATTATCTTTCTGCGTATAAATCCCTCTCCACAAAGATCTAACTCAGTGGGTGTAGCATGTCTCTGAAGAATGGTACCTGACCTTGGTCAAGGTTGAGTCGAATCAGTGCAGATGTCGAACTCCAGAGTAGCAAAACACCCCCAGATCAGTATCATCATTTCTGTTAGTCTCCTCGCCGACTCCCCTCTGCTACTGATCGAAATCTGGCTGTTACTCATCCTCTGAGACCACCGGTAGACGTCCCTCTTTCGCAGAACATTTGTTGATTTTAGTCTGGTGTTTTGTTATTTTATTTAGCGAGTTCTGTATCTGTGACGAAGTTGCTTTTCTATCTCCCAGTGAACAAAGCTTGATGTATTGATCGTCTGTTTTTGTGGTCACTCTTGATTGGCCTGATCGTGCTTTGGATACAGCTCATCCAGTTTACACAAATTGAGTTAGAGTGCCATGCACTGCCCCCTTTGAAACCTTCAGTCTAGCTTTAATTCGATGCAGAAGAAGCCCCCTTGCTCAGAATAACTATTTGACTTCTGACGCTTCCACTTACTTCTAATGTCATGTTTGTCACTATCAGTTTGGTAACTTCAGGCACAGACGTACTTAGAACATCTAAACAAGTTAAATTACTTGATCAAGCCCATGATGAATAGATTAAATCTACTGGAGTGTTGCTTCAATGGAGGTGATACAAGTCAAAGAAATCGGACTTTTCATACGACTTAACATAGTGAATTCTATAAGTTTGCTTAAATGTTTCTTAATCCTCAAATTTGCTGATTATGACCTGGTTCCGTGATAATTTGGCAGATCGCTGATGTGGTGTCAGCCTTTTCAACCTTACTGTAGTTAAACAATGGGAAGCTCTTAACATCACATAATTCACTGGAAAGATTTCCAGTTGCCTGGATCCATAACAGTCTAATTGACGCTGTTATTTTTATTTCTCTGGTCTTTAGATTGAAGACAAGAATGTCTACATGCAGAGACAATCGGTGCTAAAAGAAATCGAAACATTGCGTAACAGAGAAAATGAGCTGCGGATGAAAATGGAGGCTTTTGAAAAGTAAGATCTTTGTTGTTGTTTTTTTAACCATTCCTATTAGTAAAAGAGCTGCTCTGCTCTCATTGTGACAGCTGGTTGACAGAATGTTACTGTGTTTGTGGGATGATAGGACTTGTCAAATTCATGAGGAGAAGGTCAAGACTACTGAAGAGCTGTTGAGGAGGAGAGAATTGGCTGTGAAGACGATGGAGGACACATACGACCAAAGGCTGAAGAATGAGCTTTCCAGGTATTTTCATTTTAAACACAGATTTTACAGTTTCAAGATAAGAGTTAATGAAAATATTATGATCACACACATGCAGACTCTCTATTTTGTAAATTCACTTTTAACATTATAGTTTGGTTTCTTTAGAGTATAGCTGCATGAACTGCTCATCTATAGTCAGTGTGTTACCTACAGTAGATGGCAGTTGGTATGTTCCAAGTTTGGAGAAACAGCCAAGAGTACTGGGACTGAAACTAAATAATGAACTGCTGTGGATGTAGTCAGCAGTGACAACTAAATAAAGTGTATGCCATATTTAGAATATTTTCACCTCTTTAAATTGCTGTCAGCAGACCTTTCTGATGTTGAACTGAAGCTTTTTTTTTTTTTTTTTTTATAACTCTATGCTCTCTTCAGAGCCGCCTGACTCCATCAACAAAAACAGTAATTTCACCTCGCAGAGTATAGAAGTTTCTGGTCTCCCACTGTGCGACTTTTGTGTTTTCAAACACCAAAGGCATGCAACAACACAAACCAACTACCCAATCAAGGCAGCAACAGACCAGTGTGCTGCAGAGTAAAGTTCCTGTTTTTGTAAACGGAGTCTGGTGGTTTCAAAGAGAGCAAACGAAATGCTTCAGTTCCTCGTTTGAAAGGGCTGTCTGATGCCAAGTTAAAGCGGCGAGAACATTCTAAATATAGCATACACTTAAACACTCGTTTTTTGTTTTGTTTTGTTTTTTATTTAAAAGGTGTGGCTAAAATGTTTTGTTGCTGACTCTGTCCACAGAAGTTCAACTTCTGTGCCGGTACTCGTATTTGCTTTTCAAAACTTCAGGTATACCAAAAGTAATCTCCTGTAGGTAATGCACTTGACTATTGAGGAGTGCCTCATACAGCCCCAATTAAAAGAAAACACACAAACTATCCCTTTGTGTGCAACCAGAGGATGTCACTGTTGTGTGGGGTTAAATTAAAAGCAATATCTCCTATATAC